GTCTGAACTAATCAAAAAAAAAAATTATTATCTCAAAACAATGTGACATCTTTTCAACCATCTGAGGAAATTTTCTCATTTCAAGCTTTTTTTAATTTTTTGTCTAAGATGTAATATAATAATCCATTCTAGATCAATTTAGAAGGGACAAAATTTCAATCATACTTCTCTCCTCAGCCATTGTTCTTTCCGAAAGAAATGCAGATATGGATATTCGTGAGTTGGATGAAAATTGTCATTCCTAATTTAGATTAATTACAGCCTTTTGAGAATTTATAGATTTTCTGGACTTGATTTCAATGGTGATCACCATGCCTAGATCTCGTTAATTAAACTTTGATTAACAGGTTAATACCACCATCCCATCTCATTACCTCAAACTCATCAATGCAGACTAGCAAAGACCTCATTTTCCCCGAGATGCCCGCAGTCAAATCACTTGATTTCAGTTCTAAGAGGAGAAAAAGCTAAACTACTTGACTTCAGGAATTATTGACGTCTCTTAAAAATGAAGCATGCCATCCCTCTAGCATATTCATATTTATATTCATATACAGTTATTGAGATTAGTAAAACTGGTCTATAATAGTTGGGGACAAAAGCAATGGCACATAGTTGTTGAACAAACTGCAAGATTGCTCTATTAAATGCAATTGGCATTTTGTTTACAGTTCTTCACACATGCATGCAATGCACAATAAGCAATTAGGTAAAGAACAAATATGTCATCCTGGCCACTTATTTCTCAGACAGGTCAGCATCTTCTGGGTCATCCTTCCAAAAAAAATTACTTCTTCAAGAGCACCAAGGGATGCACCAACTTTCATGCAACTATATCATTTATAGCTAAGAATCCTGTATATTTTTCACTTTCCGTTTTTTTGGGTGTGTTAGAAAATTCTCACTGAAAGAATCACCCAAAAAAAGAGTATTTAACTGGCTTCAAATTGCAAAGGTATGTCAGCAGCAAAAGTAAAATTTAAGAACAAAGACAATGATATCTTGCCTGCATTTGTGTCCTGAAAGTTTCAATGAGCTCCGCATTTCTATCGAAAGGCACGGACCCAGATAGGGACCGTGAATGTCTTTTCTCTCTTCTCTTCAGCCCAGAAAGAAATCTAGGACTCTTCTCTTTCTTTTTACACTCAGCCAAGCGAACCTCAAGCCTAAATGTAAGAATTTTAAGTTTTAAAAGAGTGAAAGAGAATGTAGTGCTAAGAAATGAGAGAAAATGAATGGCCACCAGAACGCAAAATATGTAATTAGTGCATTTTCATTAGTTCCTTCAAATAATCATAAATTGACGCTCAACTACAAATACATGGTGAGAATCATAGTTAAGAAGTTTTACCCAGAGCAGACCATGCAAGCAAGGAATACTTCATAGGCAGATTCACGCAAATCATCATCCAGTAGTCCTTCAGGAGACCTAAAACTTTGTATCAGTTTACTCCAAAGGTGAACATATAAAGACAAGATACAGACCAATAATTCTTCCACATGCTACAGGACCCACACAGTTTCATATGTCATTCTTCTTTTTCGTATCATGATAATAAGCATACACTACCTGTTTTCAGTGCAGGTATTCCTATTGATGGAAGATCAGCTTGCTTAATGGTAAATGACCCTGAAGTTCCTGCGGTTTTACTGTTAACCACATAATCATCACCGTAAGGAGAGAAATCTGTCAAATCGGAATGGCATGATCCATTATTATTGGAGTGATTCTTCATAATAGAAGGTGGCACACGCTGAGGGTGGGAGCCAGCTGATTCTGGATCTGTAACAAGAAAATACGCATCGCCTGTGTGCAACTGCATCTGCAGAGACCATTACAAGAATATCAAAATGCAGCTCCTCCATGAGATGAGGCAAATCATTTTGCAGTTTCTTTCGCAAACAATGATTCATTCTTCAATTTAAAAGATTCAAAGACAGATGAAATATATTATTATACATCTAGAATTAACACATAGAACACATGTCAGAGTCAGGGGAAGTTTCTTAAAGTTAGGTTACTTGGGCATTCAATCTGGAAAAGATTAAAAAAGTAAAAATAAAAATAAATGGAAAAGCAACACTATTACTAGATTCAATATATTCCGCTTAGGGTCATATCCTAATACACAATTTCTATCAAAATCCAACAAATGAAAAGAGAAGAAGGTTGGTCATGCAAACTTAGGCTAAGAAAGAGTATTGCAGTTGGTGTGCAATAATTTGATCATTTTTGCATGGCTAACTTCAATTTTCAAAGATGAATGTGGTTCACTCACAAGTCAAAATAAGCTTACAGATCTGGTCTCCATAAATTTGCCTAAAGTGACAGGTATACTAAATGGAAAAAGAACAAAGGAAAACCAAAAAAATCCAAAATATATAAATTGGCTGTATATAGAACATGAAGTTAATCAAATACTTGTTCTTTCTTAGATGCATAATTCAAATTTCTAAAGCAGGAGGTAGTTGCATCTCCGATATTGATGCAGGATGAACTTTTCAACTTCTACTACGTAATTTCATGCTCGAAATTTAAAAGCTTTGAAATAACAAAACAAGCAACAGTTACTATTGCAAATACTTTGATTTACTTCCCTCTACAAAATAAAGGAAAATCACACAACATAATTTCGTCCATGGATATGCACACTAGTGGATTATAACTTCCTCGCTCCACTATAACTGTGATCAATTGAAGACAACAAAGAATTTTTTATTAATATTATTAAAGGTAAATTCCTTACTGTTTTTGGATGTCGACGTTCATCGTGATACTTCTTAGCTGCTAAAGAAACATCCAGCACCCCACCTAATCATACAAAACAATGACAATGAAACCAAAAGCTTCAGCCTTTGAATGTAAACAAACAACAGAGAACATGCAGCAACACCATTCCATAAAGAAATAACACAGAAAACCATTCAAAAAACATTGCAGTACAAGTTAAATTACCACTCCCCCTTAGCTACTCCCTCTCTTTCAGCTTTGTTTGTCTGGTTTTGACTTGACACAGAGTTTTCTTAAGTAAATAAGACTAAAGATAGATAGGTAATGCACCAGCATGCCTTTAACAATTAAAGAGTTCACAGAAAAGGAAAGAGATATTCTTTCCAAACGGACTAAAAAGGAAAATAGCACAAACAATTTTTGTTTTTTTTAAAGTGACGGTAGTGTCCAGGCCAGCTTTCATGCACCTCAATTAATTCCACCGGATACCTTTCACCTCCCACCAGCAACACGTACCTCTATCTCCCCTGGTATTCAAACATGAGACCTCAACCACTTCATTGACCAACACCCATTATCATTTTCATTCAAAAACTTCAAAATTAATTTTTTTTAAGTATAGGAAAAAATTTGGATTTTTAGTACCTTCATGTAGTTCTTCTTCAATAAAGCTAAGAAATCAACACTAAAACTTATACAAGAATACTAATTTAAACATTCGTAATGAAATATATTTAAGATTCATTGTTAAATACCTTTCAAAATGAAGAAAAACTTACCAGATTGTACACATTCAAGAACATAATCAGCACTAATAACATCGAGATTGATGTTAGATAGGGATAAAGTTGGACCAGAAGGAGTTCGAATTTCTTTAATTAATCCACATGATAAAAGAAACTCTAGAAGATTCCGACGATCGTTACGATACCGTTGTAGAAGAGAATTTGTCTCCATCATCACCGTTAAAATTAAACAAATTTCCCGCCGCCGGGAAAAAAATGAGCCGGTGAATTAGAAGACAAAAAGCCTTTGAGCATTCGAATAATCGGAATCTCTTCCGATTCCGGCCGGTGAAAATAGCCACCGCGTACGGCGTTTTCCGGCGAGAAGGTGAAAGGTGGTGAAAAAGAGGCGAAAGAAATGGCACAAAGCTGGAAAAAGTAGTCGTCTGTTTTTTTTTGTGTTCCGCTTTTGTTGATCAGTTTATGTCTTTTTTTTATTGTTTTTGTTTTTAAAAAAATCCTACTATTTAATTTACCTGGTCAAAGTTTGTTGTTTTTAAGGGAAAAAAGAAGAGATAATTAACACATTTAGTCCCTCAATTATTGGAAATTAACAATTATATTTTGATTTTAAAAAAATAATCAATATGTTGAACTATTTATTCTTAATCAGAATGACAAGTAAAAAAAAGTTCTGTTGATTTAGTGATTAAAATCATCCGAATTGTAAATCAAATTAACTTAATAAAATAAAAAAATTAGATGCACAAAACTTATAATTTTCTAATTTTGATAAATTGATTTAATAACTTTTCATAGTATTCCACTCCAAGTAAAGACAAGCACAAAGGTAAAGAGAAAGTTCATGCCTCCAATAACTCTTGTATTTTTGCCTTCATTGACCATTTTTATTTTTTATTTATTTCAATTTTTTACATCTACATTTAATTACAAACAAGATTCCGTTTATTCAAGCTAACCATTAAATAGAGTCAATAGGGAAACGTTTTGCTACATATGATGTAATAATAACCTCTCTAATAACTAATAGCCTTGTGTAAAGTGTAAACCATATTCAACATCTCATGTGACTAATATTGACATATTTTCAAAGTTTAAAACTAGTTTTTTACATTAAATTTGAATAATATTATATGAATTACGAGTTTGATAGAAAATAAAATGTCTATTTCTCTCTTTTTTACAAAAAAATATAACTAAATATAATTTTATAAGTTTTGATATTTAAAATTTATGATAAAACGCCTAGTAATTAATAGAGAAAATAGATCAACAAGGATTGTGATGGAGTTGTAAGTACTCTTTCATCCTTAATCAAGAGTTCTCGGATTCGAGCCCCTTTGGGTACGGAGTCGCGCTTTACTGCCCAATATGGAATTTTTCAGCACGAATCCAAATTTAATCGGGCTCCAATATGAGTAACCCGACACCAAGGAGGAAACAAAAAAATATATATATCCTTAATTATCTTTTAAAAAGGACAAATAGTTCCAAGTATACCCTTTGGCTATTGGCTTATTTCCCTCCAATTTGAAGTTGCAATAGAAGGGTTTTAGGAAGGGCTTTTTTCTCTTGGAGTTGAGAAATGGCATCTTCTTCTTTGACATCATCTGGACCAGAAATCCCTTGGGTTGAGAAGTTCCGACCCACCAAAGTATCCGACATCGTCGGCAATGAAGATGCTGTTTCCAGGCTTCAAGTTATTGCTCGTGATGGAAACATGCCCAATCTTATTTTAGCCGTAAGAAATTTCCCCAATTTCGCTACTGAGTTTTTCAGTTTTTTGTTGCCCCATTTGTGAAAAATAAGAAATTTTAGCTTCTGGGGTTGAGGTATTTTCCATATATAGCATTGTTAAGTATTTCTGTTACAAAAAAAGACTTAACTTTTTGTTTAATTTTGTGGATAATGAGAAACTTTTTTTTTCTAGGTTTGAGGTTTAGTGTTGAGATTAGTAAACCCAGCTACTGTGCATTGTTAAGTACTTATGTTACAAAAAGGGCTGATTTTTTGCTCAATTTATGGGTAATAAGAAACTTTATTTTCTGGGTTTGAGGTTTAGTGTTGAAATTTGTACACCCAGCTTTCCAAATTTTAACGGTGCTTCTCAATTTGCTACTGTTTTTTTCTTATTTCGTTGCCCCATTTGTGAAAAATAAGAAACTTTACCTTCTGGGGTTGAAGTATTTTGCAGATATAGCATTGTTGAGTATTTCTGTTACAAAAAAAGACTAACTTTTTGTGGATAATGAGAAACTTTATTTTCTGGGTTTGAGGTTTTGTGTTGAGAGATAGACCCAGCTTGTATTGTTTATTGATTTCGCCGGTTATAGAAAAGAAAATGAAAAAAAGTGTTAAGAACTTTCATGCGGTGATCCTAACAAGCTTGAACTATGTTAGATGCTATTACTATTTGTAACTTTATGCCAAGTGAAGGAAAAAAGAACTAACTTTTTGTTCCATGTATGGTTAATGAATAAACTATTGTGAGGTTTGTGGTTTACTGCAGAGAGTAGTAGAGTGATAGACCTCTTCTATAATGGGTTCTAGATTTGGGTTGTCAAAAAGTAGAAGAGAAACATGTCGCTAAAAATTGCTTGCAGGGTTATTCACAAGCTTGAAATATGTCAGAAGCTATTAATATATCAAAATTATGTAAAATGAAGAGAAGTTCTAATTTTTGCTTCATTGGATGTTATAAAACTTTATTTTATGGGTTTGAGGGTAATAATTTATTTAAATATGAGCTCCATAATCAAAGTCTAATCATGAAATGGTTATGGAGATACTCAACCTGAAAGGGAGGAGTATATTTTCTTGGGGGGCTAGTGGGAAATGATTTTTTTTTCTGGCCAGTTCATGCTATCAAAAATTGTTCGAGAAAGTTCAGTGCTTGAGAAGTGGCCATTGAAGCTTATCAGGGCTCAAAAGCTCCATACAATGTTCTTACTTTTGTTAGATTGTAGATCTGCTACTACAATATCAGTTTTATTCTCTTGCGGTCAATAAGTCCTGAATATGAACCATTTGTGATTCCTTTTGTCGTGAAAATCTTAATAGTCCTTGCTTAGTAGCCAGACTTCTCCGGTTGCATGTATATATATCTGCAAAAGTATGCACTCTCTGTGTGAGGTGAGCTTATGCCAGATGTTGGATGCAGATTCTATTACCTCTTGTGCATTCTCTATTTTGTGGGATAATAGACTTCCAGTTTCAAATACAATCTTGTTATTGATGAATCTTGAATTGGATCCTTGAGTAATATTGATTGGTTAGTTTCAGTGTGTTGATTGATGAGAATGTGTAAAAACGAAGTAGTTATTGCTAGTTTTCCTGGAAGTTGATCATTTTTACTCTAATGCACATCTAATTTAGGACTTTCGGGCACCAAAATGTTTGTCCATTTGTTGTTACATTAACTTGGCAAAAGCAGTTTGCTCATAGCAGCAGTGGAGCTAAATTAAAAACTTGGTTCGAGTAAGTATATTAGGATAAACACAAAGGTGGACAAGTTTTTACAGGATGTCGTTCACTGGAAAGTTCTTGAAAATCATGTCAAACAAATGTTACTTTTCACATGTTTATCCAGTCCAATCCATGAAAGAGAAGAAAAGATACATCTCTAAAAGATTTTGCTTATGATTTCTTCATGCTAGATATTCAATTCTATATAAAACTCCTGCAGGGTCCTCCGGGTACTGGCAAAACCACTAGTATATTGGCTCTTGCTCATGAGCTTTTGGGACCAAACTATAAGGAGGCTGTGTTGGAGCTAAATGCATCAGATGATAGGTATATTGAGTACTTGATTAGATATAAAAAACCCTTTGTTTTACATGGTTAGTTCTTGCTTCTATAAAATGCTTAGAAACTTTAATGTTTCTTGTGCAGAGGCATCGATGTTGTTAGAAACAAAATCAAGATGTTTGCTCAGAAAAAAGTTACTCTACCCCCTGGTCGGCACAAAATAATTATTTTGGATGAGGCTGACAGGTTCGAAATGTTCTCCTGTAAATTTTAGACAGTCATATGAAAAAAAAAACTGTTCCTATTTCTATCTCTTCCGCACTATTGCTATCAATTTGATTGATTCTCAGGGATAGTAAACTATCTATTGACCTGCATTTTATTGCCATGTTCAATGAATTTTTAGCATGACATCTGGAGCTCAGCAAGCACTGAGGAGGACGATGGAAATATATTCGAACTCCACTCGCTTTGCTCTTGCCTGCAATACTTCTTCTAAGATTATCGAGCCTATTCAAAGTAGATGTGCCCTGGTCCGATTTGCAAGATTATCTGACCAAGAGATCCTTGGACGCCTTATGGCTGTAGTTGCAGCAGAAAAGGTACTAGCAAACTTAATCCTTGACATACATGCTATTTTTTTTAGTGTTCTTCTTGCTGCTTCTTAGTGGTTTCTTTTGATCCTTGTGTTTAATCAAAAAAAATTGTCTGCACAATGAGGCAGGTACCATGTTATTAAACCTTAATCTGTTGCAGCACAATGAACCTCCCAGCTGTTCTGCAAAATTCCATGCCTTTGTTTGCTAGTTAGTTTGTTTAAGGAGTATCTTGGTATTTATGTTCTGTCTTTAAGAAATGTCTAACCAAGATTATGAGCTCAAGGGTATATATGCCTTCAGCCTCGCCAGCATTGGGGAAGTTTCATCACTTACTCTGATCACACTTCTATATGCGGTCATCTGTGTTTTTACTAAATTGTTTGCAGAAATATATTGGTGGAAGGGAGGGAAGAGACTCATGCTACGGAAATGTTACCTCTTGCAGGTTGCTTATGTGCCTGAAGGTCTTGAAGCTATTATATTTACTGCTGATGGAGATATGAGACAAGGCTTAAATAACTTACAAGCTACACACAGTGGATTTGGTTTTGTCAACCAAGAGAATGTTTTCAAGGTTATAAGGCTCACATCTCTTTTATATAATAATTCCATCTTTTGACAGATTCCACCCTGATGATTCCATTCTCTCTTGCTGAATGCTAGGTTTGTGACCAACCTCATCCTTTGCATGTGAAGAATATGGTGCGGAATGTCCTTGAAGGAAAATTTGATGATGCATGTGCCGGTCTAAAGGCACTGTATGACCTGGGATATTCCCCCACTGACATTATCACAACCCTGTTCCGAATTATAAAGAACTATGATATGGCAGAATATGTAAAGCTGGAGTTCTTGAAGGTTTGCGTATTCTAGTTCTGAAAACTTAAATCTTCATAAGCAGTCTTTTGTTTAGCACCATTTATATATTTCTGCTGGGATAACAGGAAACTGGTTTTGCCCACATGAGGATCTGCGATGGGGTCGGCTCATATCTCCAGATGTGTGGTCTGCTGGCTAAACTATCATTGGTTCGAGAAACAGCTAAGGCTGCATGATGAGACAGGCATTGAAGTTTTTTGTCAATTGAGATGAGTCCTCGATGGTCTTCCATTTTATCGCGCATTCCTTACTTTTCTTGAAAATAGCTAGCATTTTATAGCAAGTGTTAGCCTGTCGAATTGCAAAGTTAATACTGCAATGAGGAAAATGATTGTTGAACCATTATGCATTTCAATTCTACAAATGTGCAAAGGCAGCCTTTTAACTCTACTCTATGAATGAGCATGTTAGAGAAGGACTATATCTTTCTTTTTTTGATTGGTATAAGCAGATTAAGAGAAAAGTCTCTGTTTAGTAGTTCAACATCCTCATTGAGATTTGCTCTCTAGTGGTACGAGTCAACGACATGTGATGTGTGAGTTTGATGCATATTATAGGCTCACAGCTTTGAGTCTAATCACAAACATAAGCCATATTGTTTGATGAGGGGTTTGAATTTGTGACCTACGATACAAGTTCTTCGATTTTTGTCGATTAGTGTGGTGCAAATATTATTAGGTGTGAATTTTTTTTAGCATATATTTAAAATATGCTTTAAAAGATTTGGTAGAAGTTGGTAGGTCCATTAATTTAATTATTTTTGTCGTGTCATAAATCAACTACCTAAGTTGCGATGCTCCGTGTCTAGTACGTGTACTCCCAATGGGGAAATATCATCATGACAAATGACAATAATTGCTTTTACACGAGGTGTCCTTTCATAATGTGTTTTAATAAAATATATTCATAAATAAATTTATAATTGCGTGTTTTACTTTATTTGTCTTTTTTTACTCCCTCCATTTCATATTAATTAAATTGTTAAGATGTTTCACATCCTTTAAGAAAAAAGATTAAGACATAAATTAGGCATAACTTTCCATTTTTATTCTTATTAAGTATTGTTAAATTTATGATTAAAATAACTAAACATTAATTAATAACTAATTTCAATACTAACTAATGAAGGGTAACATTGAAAGAACATTCTAAAAATAGTCTTGAAAATTGAACAATTAAGTTAATTTGAAAAATAAAAAATGTCTCAACAATTCAATTAATATGAAATGGACGGAGTAGTTGTTAATTTTTTAATATTAATTTTTCATATAACATGTTTAAGATTATAAAATCAAACGATATTTTGATGTATTCTATATACTTTTTTAATTTGAGAATATAAAATTTCAAAGTTAAGATCGGACAAATTAATTGAAGTCCGGGAGTATTTAAGAGTCAAATGGTACGTTTTTTTTTTCCGTACATTGTTACACATTTCTATCGTTGACTAAGAATAAATATCGAAATTACTATGTTATTTCCTTGGCTTCAGTTTGTTTTCTGTTTAAATATAATTGAAAATTGTTGTTAATAAATTCATGCTGTTACCATTCTTGATCACCTAATCCCCACCCTTTTTAATCTATGATTCTTCGATAAAAAAAAAAAAAAGAGAAACAAATGGGTAGGTTATGGATGATTGATAAGTTAAAGACAGATACGATTTTATATGATCTTTGAAAAAATCAAAATCAGAAATGTAAACCGTAAAGTAGAAAATATATCTCATATATTCCTTCCGTTTCATATTAGTTGATTATTATATAAAAAATTAGTTATTACATATTAATTATTGACCTTACTAAATCAAGAAAATATTACTTCAATTTTTTTCTATATTACTCTTGCAATCAATTATTTTTTAAAGTGTTCACATTTATTTGTAAAATTAATAAGAAGTTTTTTAAGGGTGAATTAGTAAAATTATCTATTTATTTATAATTATCTAAGTATTATACAAAATAAAAAGTGATGAATTAATATGAAACGGATGGAGTAATTTTTATCAGTCATAAGTCTATATAACTTCATATAGGCACGTAAATAAAGCAGTAGACTTGTCTTACAACTAAAATATTTTTAGACTATTACTAAAAGTAAGAAATTAAATATTATACTAAATTAACTATTAAACTCCTCTTATTAACTAAACAACTAGTTTAGAAAACTCTAGCGATAACACATGCAACATTCAATGATTCTGACTTTTTAGTTAGTAGAAGAAAAGAAAATGAATACGATTTCTTCTTGTGCCATTTTTCTTATTATTATTATTGTTGGAGAGAAGTATTGAAAACATTATTGAATTTTTAGCGTGAATTATTAGTTTTATTTCTAAATTATTTACAGTCTTAAAAACATTACTTGATTAACTCAACTTAAATACTCTCCCCCTCCCCCCGATCTGTCACATGGTATAATAAGTGGTCTCAAACTCTTGTAAGAGTGTGAGACTCTGAATAAAAAGTCGAAAGAAGTGTTAAAATACTCCTAAACTTGGCTAGAATTTAGAGGTGCATTTCGCTCATGTGGCAAGATTAAGTTCAGTTAGTCAAGTAGAGGGATGTTTTTAAGGCTGACAATAATTTTGAGGATGAAACTAATAATTTACGTTAAGTTTTGAGTGTTTTAAATACTTCTCTTATTGTTTTGAAAGCCAGTAGTTCAACAATTAATCAACCATATATAGTCATCATATTTCCCTTTTTGGAAAGGATAGCTCAATAAGAAAAAAGATAATGCTGGTCTAAATTATATTTGCTTCACACTAGAGAATTCTGAATACATACCAGGTATACAGATTAAAAAGTCATATTTCTTTTTCTTAGGAAATATTTTAATTTATAAAAATGTTTTTTTCATATTCTATCATATGTTTCGTTCTATAGAAAAAAAAAGTATTTGATCTGAATTATTTTCATGAAAATATCGCGACTAATTATTTATTCTCATTATAATTCGAAGTAAGAACACTGATTAAATGGGTTCATATATTCAACAAAATATATTATGTTATGACATGACAATTGACATATGTGGTGAAAACAAAATACCAACTATCTTAGGTAGAACTTAGCTATCAAAAGTTTGGCCCAATCTTTAAATTGTCAATATATGTATTTTTATTTAGTTATTTGTTTTTGTATTCACATTTACAAACAAAAAACATGGTTTGTGTTTGTTTGTATATATAAACAAGGGAAATGGATTTCCAATAAATGCAGAATATAATTATTTTGGAAATGTGAAAATTGAGAGATTAAAGTCAAGAATATTGTATTTTCATACTGCAAGAAGTACAACTATACTTTGTCAATTTTCTAAGTAAAACTTTTATTTTAATGTTCCAACTAACTTGAACTTTGGTCATGCGGGTGATAATTCTTAGGTTTGATAACTAAATTTCTCATATATTATATTGAGACTCAATCAATCTATTTATATGGCAATCTTGAGATTTCTAGTTAAAGAACAAAAGAATTTCAGTCATCTATTCGCTACCTATATTAATTATTCATATATGAAATTGTTGTTTACATAAAGATGCTGATAAAAGTATAATATCATTTAAATAAAACATTTCCGAAAATAATTGTTTACTCTTAAGTGTGAAAAAAGACAATATCAATATTACAAGAAAAACAACCTTCTAAAAATAGCATTCTCTCTATCTTTGATAATTGATATAATAAGCTATATTATCATCTTTTTGTTGTTCATCCCCAGAAAAAAAAAATCCCAGAAAAGGAAAATCTCCTACATTCATTTTAATTATTTTATAAAACTTTTAAAAGAATTATATTTATTTACATTTTACAATACCCTTTTATGTATCTTCAAATATGTAAAATTTATGTCAAATAATTTAATAAATTAATGTATTAAATTACACTAAGAATTAATTTTCTTATGAGATAAAGAATTTTTGTTCTTGAGAACCGTTTAAACATAGAACCTTTTCCTTTTCCTTTTTTTTTTTTCAAAATTATTTTCGAAACATTACTCCATTATTATTCAAAACAAAAATCTCAAATTTTCGATTTAATATATGAACAAAATGCCTACATAAAAGACCCTACCATTTTTTTGGTTGTTGAAAAGGAAAAAGTGAAAAGAAAAATTGTATAAATTCCTTAACCTTTTTGGGTATATAGATATATCCATATCCACTCTCCACAAGAAGTCTCGAATTTGAGTTTTGACTATCAAAAAAATCTTATTAAAAGCGTTATTCATAAAATAAATTTTATATTACATAATTCATATTTAGTCAGACTCTAACGTGGACTTTCGAGATTATGTATCCATATCCAATAGACAATGAGTCTCTCCTTGTTCTACCAAACTTAAATAACAGAGAAAAAGCAAACAAATCTTTCACCGCGTTTTCCTGTCTGAAAGATACTTGCTAGCTGTTAAAAAAACTCCTCACAACCCCTAAAAATCCTCTCTTTTTCGGTTTTAATTCTTCCCCAATTCTTGAAAATTCAGTTCTAAAGCCTTCTTCATCTCTGCTTCCAAGCTACTTCACCCACCCACCCCCACAATATAAATCCACCTCAAAGAAATTCTTGAATTTGTTCAGTTTTTCTGAAATCAAGAATGATGGGTAATAGAGATCTGGAGAGGGAAGGTGGAGCAAAACCAAGAAATGGGAGTTACCAACCACCCCCCACAGCAGCAGCACCTTATTATATGGAAAATTCTGAATCACAGTGGACTTCTTGGCTAGTCCCTATGATTGTTGTAGCCAATGTAGCTATGTTTATTGTCGTCATGTTTGTTAACAATTGCCCAAGTAATATCAATAATTTTGGCAGTGGTGGACGACGCCAGTGTGTTGCCAGGTTTCTTGGGAGGCTTTCTTTTCAACCTCTTCAAGATAATCCACTTTTTGGACCCTCTTCATCCACGTAAAGTTTAAACCTTTTTTGATCTAGTTTTTGTAATGATTGTTCTTTTTATGGATTTTGAAGTTTATTGGCCTGTCTGATTTGATTTTGTTAATTGTTATGTAGTATAACTTATGGAGGATGAAGGTTCTTCCCTTATTTGATGTAGGTTTAGTGGGGTAATATGGATTCTTGATTTCTATGGTTTTGTATGTCAGCTAATCCTCTCAAGAAAAGGAAAAAGATTGAATTTTTAACATACCTGTCATACCTAGTGTAATTTCACAAGTGGGGTGTGGGATGGTTAGATCATAGATGTATGCAGACCGTATCACTACCTTTGTGGGATAGAGAGGTTGTTTACGATAAAAGGAAATTCCTTTGTGGGGTAGAGAGGCTGTATCCGATAAAAGGAAATACCTTTGTCGGGTAGAGAGGTTGTTTCCGATAAAAGGAAATACCTTTGTGGGGTAGAGAGGTTGTTTCCGCTAAAAGGAAATACCTTTGTGGGGTACAGAGGTTGTTTCCG